GCATCGTACGACGGTTTGAACAGATCCCAGTGATGACAACTGATGTGGAAACCGGATGGCAGCTCTTTAAGAGAAGCCTACTCGAGGCTGCCGCCGAATGCTGCGGATATAAACGGGTTGGCCTACCGCCTGGAGGTCAGAAAAGAACTTCGTGGTGGACACGAGAGATACAACTGACAGTTAAAGAGAAGAAAGCAGCGTTCTAGAAATGGCTTGGAAACAAAGAGCCTTCTGCTCGGCTGCGATTTGCCGAGGCACGCAAGGCGGCAGCCAAAGCAGTGGCAAAATCCAAAGCTGATTCCTGGGAGAGGTTCGGTGTGCTGTTGGAGTTGAATTTCCACACCGCAAAGAAAGTGTTCTGGCAGACCATCCGCCGTCTCCGAGGTGAAAAGAGGGCAATCTCAGAGTCTTAAAGGACAGGTCTGGTCACCCTCTTACCAAGGATGATGACATTCTTCGGCGATGGAGAGAGTACTTTGAGGAACTGCTTAACCCCGCGCAGCCGCGAGAAGACTCGCCTGTAGAGCAGAAGGGTACGGATATTACTATCTCTGTAGATGGAATTACACAAGCTGTGAAAGGCTTGAAAAATGGAAAGACTGTTGGAATTGTTGAAATCCGCCCTGAGATGCTCGACGCATTATGCGAACACGTATCTGTCACACTGCGATGACTGTGGGAAAGACACCACCGGACTGGAAAAGGGGAGTTATCGTACCCGTATTCAGGAACGGAGACTACATGGAATGCTTAAATTTTCGGGGCATTACGTTATTGAGCCTCCCAAGTAAAGTCTACGCAAAGGTGCTAGAAAGGAGGTGCGGTGAAATAGTTGATCTCAAGATCCAACAAGAGCAGCGTGGCTTCCAGCCCAGTCGAAGCACCTCTGACCATAAGTTTGCCCTGCGCCAGATTGTTGAGAAGAAGTGGGAGTGCGCCCATCTGGAGTACATGTGTTTTATTGACCTAGAAAAAAATTGTGACCGGATCCCACCCAACAGTCTATTGTCATGCCTTCGAGCATACGGGATAGATTGCCAGCTGCTAAGGGCAATGCAATCACTATATTCTGATAGCTTCAGAGTAAATGGCGTTAAGTGGAAACGATTCAACCTTCGCGCAGGTCTCCGCGAAAACAGCGTCCTGTCCTGTATCCTGTTTGTGTCGGACATGGATAGAATACTCAGGAGCTGCCAAGGCACTGAGTGTATCGGCGTAGATGTGGCGACGAGAAGGTTGCTACTTGCAAACGACCTTGTTGTATTGGCATCATCAGAAGGTGATCTACAATGGTCCCTAGAAAGGTTTGCAGCCGAGTGCGATGTGACCGGCATGCGTTTGAACGCATCTAAAACGAAAAGCCTTGTGGTTTCTCGTTTTGTTGCCAGTTGCTATCTTCAGATTTTCGTGGAGGTAGTGGAGCACATGGAGAAGTTCAAGTACCTCGGAGTCGTATTTG